ATCATCGTCGCGGGACAGGCGTCGAGGGCCAGACGGGAAATTGACAAAATAAGGAGAGGGAAGTGAAGGGATTTGTTCTCCTCGCCCAAGCTAATCGCATTAAAGGTGTTATGAATCGATGCACAGACGGGAAGCGGAGTGAATGCAAAGGTGAAGACGAAAATAGCCATGTAATTAATGGGGCAGCGGTGTTACAGGGCGTTTAGGGCGGGCGAAAATACAAAATATTTGCTGTAAAACTGCCTATCCTTGCTGTTTTTATACTAGTTCACTTGCAATGTCGCTGAAGTGATTCTTGCGACCTGCACTGTCAGAAAACAAAAGTTCACTCTGTATTGTGCAATTTGTTGCATTTTTCACAATGCAAATGGCTTTTGAGGGTTATATAAAGACCGTTGAATATATCGGCTGCAGTTGCAAAGCTCAAGCTAACATTTTTAGTCATTGATCTGAGGCTCGTATAGGTCACCTATGCAAAGTTAGGAGATGATCTCGGCATGGCTGTATGGAGAAATTGGCGATTGGAATTTTTCGATTGAAAAAAGCAGAAAAAAGTTTCTGAAGTAATTGCTGAAAGTTCGGTTCGCCAATTTTCTTGAAATTTCTTGCAAAAGACCTACATGGGTCACTTGTCAAACCCTGAAAATCTTAGCGAACGCTTTGCCGGGACAGTTGAGATATTCAGTTCGTAAGGTAATAGTATTTGCGGAGTAGAAACCATTGAAAAAGAAGAGAGACGGTAGGAAAACAACTTTTTGATGACATCGTTGTGAGCTTAAGGCTGAAACAATTTATTTTTTGGTAAGGCATAATGCCATCCGCATCGAATAAAATACGAAATCTTCATCGTAAAAATGTATAGAAATTTTGATAATTTTTTTTGCTTTTTTCAGCTAAAAGATCTTAATGATTTCTGCAAACTAAAAACTAGAAATGTATAAAATGCCCCACAAATTCTAATCTTCATGTAAAAAAATTTTTAAAAATCCCAAAAATCACAAAATTTCAAAAACTAAAATTTTGATTTCCTACTACAATATATGTATTATAATCCATTTTTCATCCCTAATAACACTAAATTCCCTCACTTTAATTAATCTCCCCACCCTAATTGCGGTCCATACATCTAGCACGGCGCACCTTGAGCACATTGAAACAAAAGAAGCGGCCGAAAAACGGGCCCAACGTCCATTTTTGGGCCCTCTCCGTTTCACACGAAGCCCTGCCCAATTTTCCCACCGAATGGCCAGACATTTTTTTGGCCCGAAAAAGGGGAGAGAGGGGAAGGTCCGGTTTCCATAGAAAGACGGTGGAAAATGGAAAGCGGACCGCTTTAATCCGGAAAAATATCCGGCGAAGAACTTTTGAATGCCGAGTTTGCAGTGATTAGCAGGGAGGATACTGGGTGAGAAAATTAAAAAAATTTTTTTTTGCGTAGGAAATAGAGAAGATTGAAGAAACTTGTGGTGACATAAAAATTAAAAAAAAAAAATTTCAATTTGAAAAAAATAAAAATTTCCAAAAAATACAAAAATTTAGCTATTTTTTTTATTTTAATTAATTTTTTTTGGGAAATTTAAAAAATTCTTAAAAAGAAATTTTAAATTTTTTTTTTAATTTGAAAAAAATAAAAATTTCCAAAAAATACAAAAATTTAGCTATTTTTTTTATTTTAATTAAATTTTTTTGGGAAATTTAAAAAATTCTTAAAAAGAAATTTTAAAAATTTTTTTTAATTTGAAAAAAATAAAAAATTACAAAAAAATCCGGCAATTTTTTTTCCTTATTTTTATTCTATTATATTAATTTTTTCGCATTTTTATAAAATTTTTAAAGCAAAAAAATCTCAAAAATTTTTTAATTCCAAAAAAAAATTTTTTAATTTCAAATTGTTCTAAACTTTTACACTCCTTTTAATCAGCCCAATCCAAGTTTCAAACACCTTTCCCAAATTTTAACCCACGAAAAAAATAATCTCTACAAAAAACTGGGAGTAATGCCAAGTCGAACAAAAATGATTATCTAACCTTTAGGCATTGCGTGCCCAACGCAATGTCCACCAATTTACCAATGAAAAACAGTCTTGTTTATGTCACGCGAATTAAAAAAAAAAATTGAGGCTCAAGTCGAGTTGGACAAAAATTTAATGAAGGTGGTCCTAGACGCTTTTCAGACGCTGCCGAGATATTCAACGAGCTTTGTGGGCGAGAGAGTACGCCGAATGCGGAGAGCGGTCAGAGAAAAAAAATATTTTTTGGCTATATTTCTGAGAGTTTGGTGCGGAAAAGATTGATTTTTTTGTAGAATTATTACACTCTACGGTAGAAAAAGGTACGCAACTTTTCATGCTAAAACTTCTCAAAAAAGTAAAAATTTTTTCCAACTTTTAATCAAAAAATCTCGATCATTTCTGCACAGTGCGAGGAAGCAGTCATGCGTCTTACAAGTTAAAAAAATTGTCCAAACTTGGGCCAAGTTCCTTCAAAATTAGAGCGTCGCACTTGGGGTACTTATATTGTTAATACTGCAACTATTCGGCATAGCAAACCTACTTGCTTCGAATCAGTAAATTTTGAGTCCCACCACGAAAACGCTCATCTTTTTTCCGGAAAACTTTTTCGATAGAGACTTTTTTGATTTCTCCGTCCTACTGGTCTTTGTTATGAGTCTGTCGGGAAAATAATGAGCATTTTGTCGCTGCTCCAATCGCGTCGATGAAGTGAAAAACAATCAAATTTTGCCGTGACACAATTCATTTTCTCGGCGGCGATGCAATTTTCGCTGCGACAGAGTGCTCATTATTTTCCCGGCAGACTGATAAAAATGACTTCAGTATATAATCCGCGTATTTTACATATAAAGATTTTAAAAGCCTTTTTTTGGAAACGCTCAGAACTCGGGACTGTATACAGAATCGATAAAGCTTCGGAATTAAAAAAAAAACTCTCTGGGAATGGGCGAATAGTTTGTCCGCAAAAGTGTGGGGTCCATTCCGGGGGAGCGGCGTTCCCTCGTCACATGCCCTCAGGCGGTTTGCAGTGTCCGAGTGGCCAGCGACACACACAAAAAACCCCTCCGGCATTTGGGAAAGCGGCCGGGAAGCGGGAGAGCGCAAAAAATAGTGATAAAACCGGAGAGAGCTAGAGACAAAACGAGAGAGTGCGGGGAAACAGGAGAGGCGGCAGAGAAATGGATGGTGTTTTTGGAGAGGAGAAGATTTGATGGACTTTTGATAAGGAAGTGAGTGTGGAGGAATGGACCAAAGAGGGGGATGTGAAGGGAGCAAAACGACAGAGTGTCTGGCTTAGTATTTCAAAAAAATGAAAGTGGAAGTGGTGTTGTTCTAGGTAGAAGATATTGGATATGGAGTAAGAGGTTAAAAACCATCCAAAGCAGTAAAAATACAGTCCAAATTCTGCACAACGACGTATAAAGGGCCAAAAAATATGTTGTTATAGAAGGGTTTCGTTGAACCAGTCTGTCGGGAAAATAATGAACACACATTTCTCGGCAGTGATGTCACTTTCAGTGAGACAGAGTGTTCATTATTTTCCCGACAGATTATTTTCCCGACAGACTGGCACTTTGACAAGGTTAATAAGAGGAAGAGTTGACCACCCAGAGCAAAAGACTTGGCTCATCTTGCAGCGCGAAGGTTCTTTGGCCGCAAGTTGACCTTCATGTTATTTGAGCGTCGTTATAGAAAGGGTGTGTTGTATAGAGGTTGCATTGTATGGGCCTTGCCCGATTCAAGGTCCAGACTAATCAATGTCGCCCTAGCTTTCCAAAACCATCACTTTTTTGCCTCCCCAGCAGCTGAAAGGTATTCAAAGCTGACTATATTTTCTCATCTCCCCCCAATATCTTTAATTGCCATATAAAATCCCAAGCCATCATCCCACTACTTGCTTTGTCCACTCAAATTTCCTCACAAGCCCTCAAGTCTCGTGTTCAAATAAAAAAAAAAGTCAACTGACTTTATTTGTGCGTCCGCCCGAGGCCGTCTCCCTTTTCGCCGGCCATTCCGATAAAGAAAAGCAAAGCAAAAAGAATAGCTGTGTGGGAATGACCGTTCCGTGGCCCATTTGCCTCGGGCGATCGGAGGAAAAGAGGAGAAAGGAAGAAAGGGGGTGAGTTTCGAAATGTCAGTCTGTCGGGAAAATAATGAGCTCGCATGGAAGATCGCATCGCTGCCGAGAAAATGAATTGTGTCGCGGCAAAAGGAAATTTCTTTTTACTTCGGCGACGTGATCGGCGTAGTGATATTGTGCTTATTATTTTCCCGACAGAGTAGGAGCAAAGACAGGGAGTTTAGATGTTTAATAGGGCAAGTTTTGCCGGTAGCACGTTTAGATCTTTATGAAATCTGCTATAGATTGAAATAGTGAAAGTCTAGGAGATAAGCCAGACTTTGAGGAAGTTTAAGTTCCAATAATTCTTAAGCATCCCCTACCAAAACTCTAGCCAAAAATCCAGCATCTCGCCGAGACAGCAACTGTAGCATTTGCTGCAAAAAAATCGGATTGAAATTAGTCTGTCGGGAAAATAATGGGCACTCGTTCCGCAAATGGTTTTTTGGATGGAATGCACTGTGCAATGCACTTTTTTTTAAAGTTTTGCAGCCACGCGCCACAACCGGCAGATAAAAATTCTCAGGACCTTTGGTGTAGAACACTCTGTCAGGAAAATAATGAGCATAATGTCGCTGGGCCGATCACGGCGCTAAAGTGAAAAAAAATTTTGATTTGGCCACGACACAATTCATTTTCTAGGCGGCAATGTGATTTTCGCTGCGACAGAGTGCTCATTATTTTCCCGACAGACTGACATCATGGTCAAAGACTTGTTTGTCATCCCATAACTTGAAGTTCTCCTCTCAAAAAACGGCCATAATTAAGTTATCCTTCCCCCATAGCCCCAAAATGGACATAGCTTCCTTTTTCTCATTCCAATTTCCTCGTATCTCCTCGCCCTCCATAAAAAATCAGCCAGCGTCGAGAATGGACACACAGCCCGCTCCCTGCCCTCCGGCCCTTTCTGTTTTTTTCTTCCTCCATTCCTCTCAGCGGCGGCTTCACAAACAGGGGGCCTCGAAAAGGCAAGCCCCTCTCGCGTTGTGTGCGAGGCCTTTTTTGGAATGCAAAGGTGTCCAAATTCCTTGTGCCCACAACTATTTCCTCCTCCTCTCTCTCGGCTGGCGGGCCCCGAGGCTAGTTGGTGGCGATTCTGGTGCCTGCGGCGGTCAACGGTCTCTTCTTGTGGAGCGGTCAGTCGGCCGGATTCGGAGATGTTTTTTTTCTGAGGATTCTGATGGCCAGAAGGCAGCGAAAAAGGGAGAGAAGAGGGAGAAAGAACAAAAGGAGAGACGACAACCGCTGGAAGGAAGTAAACAAGGTGTGATGAGAAAATTACAAGGTAAAAGAAGATTGTAAAATCGCGAAGCTGCCAATTTGCAAAGAAAATTGGATGACAATTCTGTAAGGTTTGAAATGCTGGCCATAGGGTCGATAAAAACTGGGATTTTGACAGGCATGGCGAGAAATAAAGCGCAAGGATTTAGCAGTTCTTGCAGAGCGCAGAAATTCTTGAAAAAATCAATTTTCCTCGCATACAACGAACAGCGAATCATAAAAGCTTTCCGCTATAGATTTCGTCACTGCGCGGCGCAAAAAGTCCTGATAACTGCACTTTTTTCGCGATTTTCGCAGCGACGCGCTAAGACCCCATCGTGCAAATTCTCAGGATTTTTTGTCCGGAATTGAAGCCAAAAATTGGCTTCTTACTGGCCAACAATTTGTTACCAATCAAGGTAATCAAATGAAAATTGGATATAGAAATTTTATGGCTTGTTATTGGGCTAGATAATCCTTACTAAGGCCGCTGAATAAGGCCGCTAAAGGCTTTTAGGAAGATCAAAGAGGTAATTATCTATTGTACCGCGTCTACCAGAACAAGGGACAGCGCTAATAAAATAGGCTCACTGCCTAAATAACACACCAAACCTAAATATTAAGGATCGATGAAATACAATGTAATCTCGCGCTAAAACTGCTATAAAACAAAGCTTGTTTATAGCGAACATTTTCAGAATTTATATAAAAGCGTAGTAGGACTTATTGCACAACAATTTCAAGAGCTACAAGTGTTTATAAATCCGTTTTACCTCTGTAAAAAAGACTTAAACGCTGTTTTTCCTAAAGCCACACCTGTGGTTTTGGCAAGCGACTGCGATTATGCGGATTAATTTTGGCCAAATCCGGTGGAAGAGTGAGAAACGTCAGCAAGCTCTTGGTTGAATTAAAAGGTTTACATGTTCACAATGTTTCAGCAATGTCAACAACAAGTGCAGTTACGCAAATGGGTTTCGAAAATTTCAAAGCCTAAATCTTGGATTTCTACGCAGGAGAAAACGGAGAAAACTTTTGTACAACACATCGCAATGGGCGAACAAATACTTTGTTATAGAAGGTTTCCGTTGCATGAAGGTTCTTCTTGTTTAAACAAGGGAAGTACTCCAAGTTCGACGCTCAGATCTTTATGAAATTTTGCGAATACCTTGGGCATTGATCACGCATCAATTGCTGAAAATTATAGCTCCCGCTTTGCAGCCGTAGCCGGGATATTCAACAAGCTTTTTTGGCAAGGGACCACGGGAAACGCGGAGACCTGTCGTAGAGAAAAGAGCCTGTTTGGTCGTACCTTTACCAGTTTTGCGTGGAAAAAATTGATTTTTTTTAAAAAAAAATCTCGGTCGTTTCTGGAAAGCGCGAGCTAGGAGTCTCGGATATACCCTTATTGCTAACAGGGGAAGTACTCCAAGTGCGACGCTCAGATTTTGATGAAACTTGGCACAAATTTAGAATAATTTTTTTCCAAAATATGTCCGAAAATCTTAGCTCGCGCTTTGCAGAAACAACCGACATTTTTAGATCGAAAGTCGGCCAAAATTTAAGACTTTTTGCCGAATTTCGGTACGAAAAGCTTCATGCCTATTTCTACCGTAAAGGATAATGTTTCTACAAAATATCCGCACGAAACTGCCAAAGTTATGGCCAAAAAACGTTTTTCTCTCTGACCGCTCTCCACGTTTCGCATGCTCTCTCGGCGGTAAAAATCGTTCGATATCTGGGCGGCGCCCGCAAAGCGCAAGCTAAAACTTTCAGCAATTGATATTTAGTCCATACCCGACGTGTGTGCAAAATTTAAAGAAAATCTGAGCGTCGCACTTGGAGTGCTTCCCCTGTAAGTTGATAAAATTATTCTAAATTTGTGAAAAGTGTAATCAAAATCTAAGCGTCGCACTTGAGGTACTTCCCCTATTAGGCCAAAATGAACTTCATTATAATAAAACCTTTCTATAACAAACAATTTTTTCGGGTTTTTTATAATTCATCGTACGAAGGTTTGGCTATTTTTTTTTTATTTTTTCTGGCAGTAAGATGCTCCTATGTTACAATAAAAAATAAAAGAATAAGATGTCAAACCGACCATTTTTTCGACTTATCACCAACCATGCTCCGAAAAACAACAAAGATGATGTGAAAACGTCAATCCGCTTAGGATTAGCCGGCTAGTCATTGTCTGAAAAAAATTAGTGTAAAATTGCATGTTGTCAATAACAAATTTAACGAGGGAAAACACGAAAACACGAAGAAAAAAATAGAAAAAAACAGGTATGAAAACAATTTTTAAATTAATCAAAAAGTGATTCTATGGACGTTAAAGACTGTTTCCAGTCTGTCGGGAAAATAATGAGCACAATGTCGCTGGGCCGATCGCGTCGCTGAAGTGAAAAGAAATTTGATTTTGCCACGACACAATTCATTTTCTCGGCGGCTATGCGATTTTCGCTGCGACAGAGTGCACATTATTTTCCCGACAGATTAATTTTTTTTTTCGAAAATTAAAAAAAAAATCGAAAAAAATCGAAAATCGTAATTCCATAATTTCCTCGTCGCATTTAGACGTCAGTCTAACGTTTCTCCACCACACGTATATGACTGTTTCACGGAAACAATATCCGCCTTTGGCTCGACTCCAATCACTCAGAATTTAGTCACGAATAAAAAGGGAAATTGCAAGAGCACCTCGAAAATCAAGCGAAAATATTGCAAAAAATTTTTGTAAAATATGAATAAAAAATATCTTTCATGGTCAAAAAAATAAGTGAGGATGTAAAATACGACGTTACCACATAGGTACTGTGATTAGAGGTGGCAATCGCCGAAAGTTTCGGCCCGGCCCGGCCGGACCCGGTGATTGGGCCGGGCCGGGCCGGGCCTGAGCAGATTTGAAAAAGCCCTGGGCCGGCCTGCCCGCTTCGGCCCGCGGGCCGGGCCGCAAAAATCGGCCCGGACCGGCCCGATTGCCACCTCTAGTTTCTACCATAAAGTCCGGCCCCCGGCCCGGAAGGTAGATAAGTAAAAAATTTTTAATGCTAAACCAGCAAAATAAAGCACAAATGCTTTGTAGAATGGATGGAAATTAGATTAAACCTTTTTTGACTTATACGCTGTTTTATTACCTTTTAAAATTATGTATTTATATGTATATGTAACTTACTATGTATAATATATGTAAAATCCCACCCAAATATGCAAGGGTCGGGCAAAAATCTTCGAATTTTTTATGATAAATTTAAAAATTTCACTGTACTTTTGATTCCTTGATGTAAATGAAAGTGTTTAAACATTTTTTGGTTAACCATGTACCTTATAACGTCCATACTTTTATAAAGCTAACTTCCTATAGGATTTAAAAATTTAACACAATCCAACTTTTTGGCTAACGCTGGGGGAAGTTCAGACGATTCCCTTGTAGGTTTTAGCTACCTGTACGGATGTTCAAGTCACCCGACTAGACTTTTTAATTTCACGCAGACACACGTAAAAACCTTCTGGAAAGCATAAGAACTTCCAGTAGAAAGTGCAAAGACTTTTATCCATCTTTTCTGTATTATCGGGCCAAACCGGGCCGGGCCGGGCCGGCCTGGGCTTTCATCGGGCTGGGCCGGGCCGGGCCTGAGCAAATTTGAAAAAGCCCTGGGCCGGCCTGGTCACTTCGGCCCGCGGGCCGGGCCGCAAAAATCGGCCCGGCCCGGCCCGATTGCCACCTCTAACTGTGATAAAAAAAAAGTAAAGGAAAAGTTGACCCATGGGACAAGTCTTACTTTTGTTGTTATTGAGCAGGAAACATGTAATTTGCAGGGTAAAATACGCAAGATATAAACTTAAGACAACTTAGGATTTAGGGAAAGACTTGGCACATGGGTCAACTGTTCTCTTCCCCATTTTTTTACCAAAAAAGATGAAAAATTGAAAAATAATTTTAAAAAATCGAAAATAAAACAACAAATGAAGTAATCCAGACCAAAAAAAATTTGTAAAATACGATAACTTCATATATAGTTATCTAAAAACGAAAAATTCAAAGATTTCCGCAAAAAAGTCAAAAAATTTTTAAATTATCCAACAAAAATTTTCTCCCTTTATGACTATTCATTAAGCCAAAAGACTGATAGCGAGGTGATAGGGGGTTTGAAATTGTTTTTGACGGTCACTTTCGGGAAGGACGCATTAAAAAAGGAGGCGTCGAGTGACCGCTTGGCAATCGAAATTTTGAAATCGGGTTTATAAATAGGCAATGTGCGTAAACGATGGTCAAACAAGGAAATTAAAAAGGTGTTGGGGATTTTTTTAAAAGGTCAAAGTAATTGTTTTTGGGGAGATAAAAATTTCGAAATAGAAAACAGCGGCAATGTGCTCATTATTTTCCCGACAAACCGATTAGTATAGGGGCTTCTTTGTAGATGGATTGGGCCTAAAATTGGCCCTCTTTGACACTGTTTGTTATAAACATAAATTGTTGCAGAGAGAAATTTTACTACATATTATAAAATACGTTATTTTTCTATGGTAAAAAATTTAAAAAATGACTTTTTTATCGTCTTTTGCCAACATGGAAAGAACTCCAAGTGTGAGGCTCAGATCTTGATGAAACTTGGCACAGATTTAGAATAATTGTCAGGTTGCGATTTGCAAAAAAAGGCAAGATTTTTTGGCCGAAAATTGAAAAAATGAGAAATTTTTTGCGAATTTTTAAATAAAAAAATTTTATGTCATTTCTACCGTAGAGTGTAATATATCCACAAAAATCATTTTTTTTCTCACGAAACTGGTAAAGATCCGGCCAAAAAGTGTTTCTCTCTGACCGTTCTCCGCCTTTTGCGTACTCTCTCGCCCGCAAAGATTGTTGAATATCTCGACTGCCTTTGCAAAACGCTAGCTAAAATTTTCAGGAATTGCTACAAGGACATCCTAGAGTATGCACACAGAATTTGAAGAAAATCGACCAGTCGTATTTTGAGATTTTTTAAAATTTTTTTTTCCAAAAAATTTCAAAAACTCAACAAAACGCATCCTTCACTGCGAAA